TCTGCCAACATATAGAAATGGGACTGATCATAACACTAACCACAGTCGTACTTCCCACTCGGATACACCCAACCTCTGCATTCTTACTCCAACAGAATTGTATCTCTCTCTCGTGTTTGTTCTGCTAAGATCATCTCAATTGTAGTTTCTTCATCAACTGCATTCACGTCAAGTTTCCTGTGAGAAATACATTGAATATTTTAACTAAAGAGTTCTAACATATTGCAAACGGTAATGTAAAAGACAAAACAATAGAGCCTGGGGGCAATGCACAAGATTATCTATCTGCTGCTCACGTAGTATGCACAAGAAAATATGTGCGTGGTCTGGTTCCATGGCATCATTATGTGGATTCAGTTCCAGTTCCTCCTTGGCATTCATCAATAACCTCCGAACAAAATTCGACGAAACGACATGAGGAACAGTTTTTGTTGGTTGTCCTGCCCTTGCTGCAACACAAATCCATCGTTATTTATAGCCTGTCAAACAGTATACAATACATATGCCATTGACGTTCTCGTGAAGGCGTATGTTGTATATGTGAGTATCCTTTCAGCTTATCCTGCATCACACAAATAATAAAAGAATCATTAAAAAAATACGAGATGTTATAAAACTAGAATTTACATTTCATCATCAAAATCTTACCAACTTAAAGTATATGGACAGAGGAGGTTCAAGATTATGCATCAACGGCTCTTTTCCATTATACTGTTTCTCCTGACAATTGGAAATAATGTTTCACTAGTGTTCGTCTCGCTGAATTATACAACTGAATAACTGATTACACAGACAACTGCAGGACAGAGGCTAGAACTCACTTCTTCCTCTTTAAGAATTTTGGCCATCTTGTTTACTCTTTTCTGAGCTTGGTCCTCGTCCCTACTGAGACAAAAATCCAGAAATGAAACCAGATTAGGTAGACACTACAACATCTAAGTTGTTTTAAACAGTCATGATGTGTCAACTGTCAAGTACCTGGCACTTACTATACTCGTAGAAACTGCATTTGTCTGATTCATATCATTTCAAAGCTTATTTGTCATAACTAGTTTCCTTGACAGCCTATACATAGTCTCACAAATATTATATAACATACCATATAACACTGATTCAAGAACTAGTTATGTATTCATGGTTACCATTATGAGACCACCATTGCAAAGGAAGCTCTCAAGAGAGGAAGTCCATCACTATGGGGAAGCAGACCATGCTTGTCAACCCATCAACAAGATTGCTACTACTTCCACTTGTTTCGTCCTTCTCAGCAAAATCAGCTTTGTTTCCAATAACGATGTATGGGATGAGAAGAAAACCAGGCCCACCAGAAGAAAGGAGGATCTGAAAATGTTCCAGTTACTAAAACTTTAGAGCCCTCCATTTCTGCAATTCTTCTCTAGGAAAGATCACGAACAAAAATAACTCCTGCAAAATTAAACAGTCACATAAATGGCAACAAACATAGACTAGTCTAAAATGATACTATTTGAGACATAATTGAAAAGACACACCTTTAATTTATGAATAGATCAGTGAGCGGAAATCTTTTTATCTCTGATGACCTGGTATATAACTGGTAATAACAAAGGTGGTTGTTAACTCTTGAACCATATATTACTTCTACTGATAGATATTCTTCAAAGAGGGCATAACTTTCTCTACTACCTTACGTCACAAGGTTCTCTTTTCCTCATTACATGATAATAAATGAGCATGTCGCCAAAAGTGGACGCAAAAGAAGACATTTCAAAGAGCACAACACATAATCGTAGGTCTCAAATGGAAGATGGGAAATCGCCTCAAGAATGCCTTTTAAGAGTATGCAAAGGAAATAAGCGGTCTGGGAATTTTTGGAGATAATCTCAAATTCTTTATACTTTGATTCTAGCTGATAAAGAACTTTATAAGAAACACTTTAAAAACTTGAAACTCGAAACAAAGAACGCATGAAAGGAAAATGGATTATGAATAATATACGAGTGTTTACCATGTTCCTGAGATCTTTAGGTAGTCGTGTCGCCAGAACTGCAAAGTACTCTTGCCCCCGAAAAATGGGAGTTTAGGGCTATCAAGGCGATTATGTCTGTCTTAAACAACCTAGAATATATTTCTCAAAGTCAAAATTTCTAATAGAAAGAAAACAAAAATTGTGTTTATCTCATCTATGTTATGTTCATAGCCGGCAATAATCTTTGGAAGCTTCCTTTCTTTCAGCAGAAGGATAACCATTTAATCAAGATCAAGTTTGGTTATAAGTTCACCAGCCTGTCAAGAAAACAATGGATGGGTTAATAAATTTCTACAAAAATGTAGGAAACCAATTTTTGATTAGCAACGGAGCGATTTTTCACTTGCATGGCTTGTCTTTCAGAAGTTTTGAAATGGATAACTCTTGAGACAGGTGAAAGAAGAGGCATGCACATCTTCATGACCTCAACTTCCGCATAGGACGTATCAGTATCAACACTACTGTTGTCTGTAGTTAACTCTTTCTTCCGTTAATGAGAAGACAGGTCCTTCGCATATAATACGAGAATTACAAAAGAGATCGCTAATATTAGAGTACCTTAGGAGGAATGTTCCCCTTCTCAAGATACAACGTAATCCAAAACCACAGAAGCACTGGTCGCGAATGATTTTTGAAGAAACAGAACATCTCGTCACAAGATAGCAAAATTTTAAAGACAAATAGATATCTGAGAAAGAGGGTTTACATAGGGCTGGATACCATGAAGACCTCTCTTCTCTGACCAGGCATAACAATGCTACTTGATTCAAACTCTACCCTGAAATCAAAAAGCATGAAGCATTTCTCTTATTCAGTTGATCTTGGAAATATACTAGAACAGTGAGCCGATATAGGGCTTAGTGGTGTTGTATTTTAAGAGTCCCATGTACTACGAACCCTCAAGTTTGGGGTATTGATGTTCTAGCAAAACCTGGACAACGACAAATTAAAAAATGGCAGTGAAAGTATATTCATGCTTTCTATAAAACTTACTAGTGAATATAGCAGCATTTAACTCTACTGATTATGTTGATGGTGTCTCTTTTTCTGGTTGTTTTTATCCATCAACCATTCGTCAAAGATCCATAGTCTCGGTACGAGCTTGCTGTATTTGTTGTGCTTGTTGGACTACCTCTTTCTTTACCTGTAAGATAATAACTCAAACCTCCACCATCCTTTTAATCAAGAATCAATATACTGAAAACCAGATAATGTTTGACACATGGAAAAAGAAATCTCCTGTTGTATCCATCTGATATTACTATGTGGTCATTACTTTTTTTTTTTTTTTCGTCTATGTGGTCATTACTGAAATTTGATATTCACATTCTTTAATCTCGTCTGTAACATGTTCTGATCCATGACCTTATCATGTACTCCAAAACTGTAAGATCATTCACCGCCACAGTACTATCAGCAGACCAAAAACAAGCTATAGGCCTTTATAATTTCTTTTACCTTATAGACATGCCACCAATTTGTTTCCAATGTAACTAAGACGTTTCCATGGTAACCTGGTATTCATGGCTACATGAGAAAAACATATAATTCTCCCATAAGGTAGTAATTATGGAGAAGGAACATAGTAAACATATTTGTAATTACTATTATATCTCAAGGCATTACCAAGTAAGCGAGGATTCAAAGAACTAATTATGCAAAAACTTTGGTAGTAATATGTGGGGAAAATTGGTCTGAAAACTAAGTCGAAACATCCATCAAGCATATTAATCAAAGCCAGCCAACCATCAACAAGCTCCGCAACACATATGATTAGCCAGATTATAAAAATAATCTTGAATCATTTTTACCGAACCTGAACTGCAAAATAAGTAGATTACCAGAGGTAGAAACATTTTTACAATCAAAACAGTTCTCCACTGAAATAGTTCAGTTTTACTTTTTTTTTTTTCCTTAAATAGAAAGTTCCATAAAAAAGCAAGGATACGAATTTATTCAAGGGGATACTGACAAATTTCGAGAATAAGAAAGACAAGAGCCTCCTCTTTCTGCTTATAATCCCAAATCAAAATCAGTTACTAATACAATCAAAATAGGCCAACACAAGCAATACAGGATGCAACCAGTAATACACAGAGAAAAAGCGCACCTGAAACTAGGCTGATTGTTTCTTTGTGTTTGCATTTAAGGTATTATAACATGGTAACGCAAACACTTGGATCGTACTCACGACTATGAATTAAGCTAATCAGCTGCGGAAAAAAAGGAAAAAAATCATATATTGTTAACTAGACACAAACGATCAGCATCATGCTTTGTGGAATATAATGAAAATATTTTTTAACTTCGTTCAGTGAAATCAAGATTTCAACTGTGTAGCTCTCTGCATAGTGGCTTAACCACCACTTGCAAAGCTCTGATCATCCTCTCAAGATCATGAATCCTCGATTTTGTATCATTTTTATCAACTTTAACCCTTAGCTTGGGGTATTGATATGTTCCATCAGAACCTGGACAAAGACAAATTAATAATTGGCAGTGAAACAGTGAGTACAACAAACATTTAACTCACCTGATTATATTGATGTTTTCTCTTATTCTGGTTGTTGTTCTTCTCCAACCATTAATCGAAGATCCTCAATCTCGGTACGAGTTTGCTCTAGTTGTTGTGCTACGTTGAATACCTCGTTCTTTAGCTGTAAGAATTGGTACAGATCATAACTCCATCTTCCAGAAAACTGTAGGTCAATTGGATTGTGTACAAGACAATTAATAAATGCAGGGAGAAATTATAAGTGTAACTGCAATAGCAAAGAAGATGATTTTTATGATAGTGAAGCCATGGTAAAACCTATTTCCTAAGATCATAACACGGTGATTGGATTATATCGAGCTACTATTTCAACCTCCGAGGTCCTTCTCCGTCAGTAATGCAGTTGTGATAGAAACAATCGAAGCCTAACCAGGCTTCTTCTCCAACCATTCGTCAAAGATTCTCAATCTCGGTGCGAGCTTTCTCTACTTGTCGTGTAGTTGGAGTACCTCTTTCTTTAGCTGTAAGAAATGAGATAGATCATAACTCAAATCTCCAAAAAACAATAGATCAATTATCTATTGTAGGGAGAACTTATAAGTGTAACTGCAGTACCAAAGAAGATGATTGTCATAATAGTGAGTTCATGGTACAACCTATTTCCTAAGATCTTAACATGGTGATTGGATTATATCGAGTTACCTAACAACCTTGAGGTCCTTCCAGTTGTGCCGGAAATGACCAAAGCCTAACCAGCACTTCTCAACTCACTTTCTAGTATGGCCAACTCCCTCTACAAAGAATGTTACATACAGAGACAAAATCGATTAAATCTAACAAGAAAAATGTAACAAGATCAAGTCTATCTCATCCACATATGTATATCTTAAGCACAAACATTCGACATCGTCAATCAATCTAATCACTCACCTATACCACCACATGCTAACAAAGATCTCAGTCCGTCTCACTAGCACAAACTAAAACCTGATGAGAGAAGAGATGAAAAACATACCTTAATAACTCGAAGTGGGCACCATCAAGCTACCTGGTTCACTTACCAACCCAAATCATATGAGTAGAACAATCGTTGTAGAGACCAGAGGTCGAGTCTAGCCATGTTAATGATTGTTTGTAAGGCAAACACTCATAAGGAATTCCAGAACTTGGTTGTTGGATTATGGGATGATCCAGCGTTAGTCCAACAATGTGCATGAAACCGAGTGCTTCATCAACACGGTGAGCTCGTTCAGGGTACCTGCCAAAGTAATACAATGATTTTTTAACACACATACCCGCAATATAGAAATTTACTCACGAAGAACAAACTGATTAGCTTCGAACAATTGCTAGGCATATCAGCTACTGAAAAGGGAAACTACTTTTGCATCCACTACATAAAATTGGACCTAACTAGTTGATACCAATCAAAAGAAAAGGTATTCAATAAGGATGCAACCAGTAAAACACAGAAAATATCACCTGAAAGTAGGCATGGCTGATTGATCCTTTGAGTTTGCGTTTAAGGTATCATAACATGGAAACTCAAACACTTGGATCTTACTCACCACTGTGAAATAGACTAATCAGGTGCTGAAGAAGGAAAAAATCATAAACTGTTTTGTATTAACTAGACACAAACAATCATTATCAAGCTTTTGTGGCAAATAAAATTTAACTTTTTGTTTGTTTTGTTACTTATTAACCTTGGTCACTTCGTTCAGTGAAATCAAGATTTCAACTCTCTGTATAATGGCATAACCACCAGAGGCAAAGCTATGATCATCCCCTGAAGATGATGCTTTTGAATCCTTCATTGATGCTGTCCCCTTTGAAACGATTCGCGAATTGACCTAAAACTCAATTCTCAGTTTACAAATTCCAAAAATCTCTTTAAGAAAATTAATCAAATCTCGATTACCTTAACGATGGGGACTTAGCCTCCGAATATCTAGAGAAGGTATAACGAGTATTGTTACTGTTGATCCAAGTCTCTCCGGCGAACACGATCAAGGCTTTCTCCTTCTTCTTCTTCTTCCTCAGGATCTCGTCTTTTCTCCCTGAGAAAATCCTCCGTCTTCTCCTTTTCGTTCTTCATCTTCTTCAACATCGCCTCCTACTGCACTAGATCTTTCTCCAACGACTTCGTTTCTTTCCCCTTCGCTGAGATCGGCGACAACAAAGGCTCGACGATCTAACTTTTCTGCTTCAACGGTTTTCTACTGCTTCTCAATTACTTCGCCGGCTATGGAGATGTTAGAATTTGGTAGAGCGTCTGAGAGCCCCAACGGTCATGATTCGAAATCCAAACTGGTAACTTTTGTGAATTTAAAAGACTCTTGGTCTCCAAGGCTTACGCGAGTTATATCAACGAGTGTTTCTTCAATTAAACCAAACCAATTTCACAAAACCAAATTCAAAACTGAGTTTAAAATTGGTTTGGTTTTATTGAAGAACACAAATTGGTTAATTGATAACGTAACCAAAATTATATGTCTTAATCGATGATAAAGTTTATAACCGCAATTCGTCATCAACTACCATTTCCTTCGCCAATGGTGTTCTTCTCTGATTCTTCTTCGTTAAGTCGTGGACTGGCTTCTTGTCAAATTAGGGTTTTCACCTGAACCTTTTACTAAGCAAGACAACACTGTTATTTAGACCTGCGTTGTCTCCTGCTACGGGCTTGCTTATAACGGTAAAAATCGTTACTTGCTTGAAAATGGGTCAACACTAATCTTCTTGATTTGATTACGTTTAGTTTCCTGTGTGTTGATGATTAACAATGGGTAGCTGTTTCTATATTCATTATGAGTCAGTGTCACTCTGTTGATAAATAGTGTTTATGGTAAGAATCAAGTAACTTTATCAACATGATTCTCCATTAGCTTAAACCACAATTTGGATAATCTTGTTTACGTGAGAGAATCATTCAAAATATAAGTTAATCTTGTTTGCTGAAGATGTTATAAACCATGTATTGTGGTGGATAACTGGGTTTTTATTTGTAACAAAAACGTTATAAAAATTGAAACAAATATATCTATTAACCATTTTCGTCACAAATAGTTAAAACAAAAAAAAAAAGTAAAAAAAACTATCTCAATAACAGACTAAAACATTGTCTCAAAATCGTCATAATTTGTGACTAACATATCGACTTAATTCAGTAACTCATTATTACAGCCTCAAATGGTCACAAGTGATAACTAAAACTTTGTTGCATATTGGTAACAATTACTCAAAACTCGTGGTATTTTGTGACTATCATAATGCTCCAATTCCATCACCCACTATGATAAATGAGTTTCAAATAGTCCCAAACTATTACTAAAAAATCATCGGATATGGTTAAAATTATGAACTAAAAACATAACCTCAAAACACTATTCTTTATTAAATTATTGTCACAAACATACACATTTCTTATAATAATATACATTAGCTATATATATTATAATTTATCTCCATTCTTACAAGACAAATACAAATTTGACGATAACTAGTTGACGATGCACAAATTTGACGATAACTCTCAGATGGTAACCCCTATACAGATGATCTCAGGCTCTCTGGAAAGGTATAAGATTCAATTTTTTTTTCTTCTGTAAACGTGATAATAAAAGGATAAGCCTTTTTTCTAGAAAACGGTTCAAATTGCTTCACAAAATACTATACTTCATTCTCAATTAATAGTATGGATTATTATTTTTTTACAAAACAAAATATTAAATACAAAATAAAATATCTTTAAGCTTTTTTTAAGAAAATAATATTCATCACAAAACAAAGTTAAATCTTTCTTTTCTCCAACGAAATCCCGATCAGATTCTTAATCAAAACAAAAAAATTCTACTTCAACGAATAGAACCCTAATTAGTTTTTTTTTTGGAATTGATGACTGAGATTTCTAATCATGTGAAAAGCATTAAATAAAACTTACGTAAATGTTATAATTTGTTATTATGTCATGTACTTGTATAGGCTATATAGACCATTATTTTGTAATATAAAACAAAGCAAAATTGTCAAGAAAAGTTGTCGAAATAAACAAAAAAAGTCAACATATCCCTCGTTGCAGAACATCTTCAATTTACTTTTCTTTTTCTTTTCGTTTTTTCCTAATATATAGTTTTCCATTTGTTTAATAAAAATATTTTCGACAAAATAAATAATTTTTGTTCATATGGGCTTTTTTCTTGTTAGAAAAGAAATATGTAAAAATAGTTTATACGAGAGAAAAAAAAAAGGAAAAAAGAAAGTAATAAAACGTTCTAGAGAGTTCCAACTCCACAAAACCTCAAACAAAAGCAAACGCAATTAGCCTTCATAAGAGAGAAGTCCTCTCACAGAAACAGCAGCCACATCAACCAAACAATACTTCCTTCTTCTTCTTCGTCTCCTCCATCGAAAGAGAGTCTCTTTTCTCTCTCTTTCTCCCTTCAATCTCTAGGGTTTTCGTTAGAACGGCGAAAAGATGTTCGGTAGAGGACCCTCGAAGAAGAGCGACAACACTAAGTTCTACGAGATCTTAGGTGTTCCTAAGAGCGCATCACCAGAAGATCTCAAGAAAGCTTACAAAAAAGCCGCTATCAAGAACCATCCTGATAAGGGTGGAGATCCCGAGAAGGTGAAAAATTCTTAGATCCCTTTCTTTATCGCTTAGATTCTGTCAAATTCGATCTGGGTTTTGTTCGTTTGATTGCGGTTTTTCGATTGATTGTTGTCTTGCGAGTTTCTTAATCTTGAATTTTGATCCGATCTGAAAAAAGTTTGAGTTTTGGGTTCATCTGAAGCAAAGTTAGGGTTTTGACGATTCTAATGGATTGATGTGTCTTGTTTTGATAATTGAGTGGTTAAAGTCGGGTCCTTTGTTAGGTTATGGAGTGTATGAGTTTGGTTTGTGGTGTTATGTGTTAATTGTGATTTTGATTGGAGTGTAATTCATATATGTCAATTGCAGTTCAAAGAGTTAGCACAAGCTTATGAAGTTCTTAGTGACCCGGAGAAGCGTGAGATTTATGACCAGTATGGAGAGGATGCACTCAAGGAAGGAATGGGTGGTGGAGGAGGTGGACATGATCCATTTGATATTTTCTCATCCTTCTTTGGTAGAAGCCCCTTTGGAGGTGAGTTTCTTTGGTCATTGTCTATTCTCTGATATCACAATTGAGGATTTGCTTTTCATTGATTTGAATCTTTTTGGTTATGAAATAGATGGTGGTAGCAGCCGGGGAAGGAGGCAGAGGCGTGGTGAGGATGTTGTTCATCCTTTGAAGGTTTCTCTTGAGGATGTTTACCTTGGAACAATGAAGAAGCTCTCACTTTCTAGGAATGCTCTCTGCTCAAAGTGTAACGGGTTAGTACATTCGACTCGACGTCATTCTTTTACATTTTCAGTGTAGCTATGTTCATAAGAATATGAATTAGCTGAAGCTTTGACAGAAACCCTTTATCTCAGAATAATTCTTTAGTTAATTGTTGTTTTTTGATCGAGAAAATGCCAACTTTTTCGGACCCCAGATGGTAAAAAGGTTCTGAATTTGTGATTTTTTGTTTATTATTGCAGAAAGGGGTCAAAATCTGGAGCCTCCATGAAATGTGGTGGATGTCAAGGTTCTGGTATGAAGGTGTCAATTAGGCAGCTCGGACCTGGAATGATCCAGCAGATGCAGCATGCATGTAATGAATGCAAAGGAACAGGTGAGACCATCAATGATCGCGACAGATGTCCGCAATGCAAAGGAGACAAGGTGATTCCTGAGAAGAAGGTGCTTGAAGTGAATGTGGAGAAGGGAATGCAACACAGTCAGAAGATCACATTCGAAGGACAAGCAGATGAAGCGGTATCTACCCTCAGACATTTACTCCAGCTTTGATTACTAAATGTTTTTTTCTTTCTGGTGACTTGACCTTTTGTTTTATGTTTTTGTGTTGGAACAGCCTGACACTGTCACTGGAGATATAGTGTTTGTCCTTCAGCAGAAAGAGCACCCAAAGTTCAAGAGAAAGGGAGAAGACCTCTTTGTGGAGCACACACTTTCTCTAACAGAAGCTTTATGTGGCTTTCAATTTGTTCTGACTCACTTGGATGGCAGAAATCTTCTCATTAAATCTAATCCTGGAGAGGTCGTGAAACCTGGTACGTATTCAGACCCATCGTAATACTTTGATTGTACAGTTATCTCTCTGATTGAAACATGATTACTTATCTTGATGTGTTTATCAGATTCATACAAGGCAATTAGCGATGAAGGAATGCCGATATACCAGAGGCCATTCATGAAGGGTAAGCTCTACATCCACTTCACAGTGGAGTTCCCAGACTCGCTGAGCCCTGATCAAACCAAAGCACTGGAAGCTGTGCTGCCTAAACCCTCAACAACTCAATTGAGTGACATGGAGATAGATGAATGCGAGGAGACCACGCTCCACGATGTCAACATTGAGGATGAAATGAGGAGGAAAGCACAAGCTCAAAGAGAGGCTTACGATGATGACGATGAAGATGATGACCATCCAGGTGGTGCTCAAAGGGTGCAATGTGCTCAGCAGTAAGTAACTCCTTAGAGAGAGACTATTACCCACATGGGTTTGGCTCCAACCATTTGTCTCTTGCTTTTTCATTCTAAGTGTATTGGAGTCTTATGGGAGTTTGGTACGGTTTAAGAATTTGCCCACTTCGGTGGAACATCAACTTGTTTTCTCTTTTTTCTCTGACTCTTAAAATTAAGGCCTTATTACACAATTTTGTGTTTTGATAATTAAATTTGTAGTAATTTAATGTCTAAGAACATATACTGTGTTTTTCTATAATGATGCGGATTTAAAAGTTCAAAGATTGTGTTAATATGTATAACAAATGCGACAATAGTCTTAAGATGTTCATATTTATGCCTGGTGTTATATATGTCATAATTGATTCATATTTCACTAAGATTTTGGGGTCTGTGATTGTGACCACGGTCAAAACTTTCGTCGGATAAATATATCGGCTCGATGGGTGTCAACTGCGATGACGTGTGTAACATACTGGCACATTACCTTGTGAAACTTCTCTTGGTCAAATGGGCTACTAAGCCCATAGACTTTTAAAACCCTAACAAAAACCTAGCCCACAACTGAAACCCGCCACGCAAACCATTCAACCGCATATCCCCAAAATAAAACCCGGCCGTGAACAATTCTGACAACATCATAAGCCAATAATACAAAGAACCCTAAAACAAAAAAAAAATCTCTTTGGTGAGGTATGTGGTGGCTTGAATGCCACGTCTTCTCAGCCGACGTCACAATATTTTCTGGGTTTTTTTTTTTAAAGAACGAACAGAGAGAAGCAACATCGAGCCCTGGTGCTATAGTGCTGGAAGTAGCTAGGTAAGTGATGAGCCACGTGCACCTAAACCATCTAACGAATAATAAAATAGAATATGATTTCTCAAAAAGTCAAAACAACTAAATAAAAAAACATTTTCTGTGTCGAAAAATCTAGAACCGTTGGATTGTTCGGTGTATTCAGAAACCGTTGGATTCCATTTCTTCAGCAAAATCTCAGTTTTCTTCACAGAAATCTTAATTTTCTTTTCTTTCATCTACAATCACTAATCCATGGCGATTTTTCAAGCTCAGTCTCTGCTTCTCCTCCTCTTATCACTCTTCTTCTTACCTGCTTTACACGCAACTTCTTTCTCCTACTGCGGTTTGTTCCTAAAACTCTCCTTTCTTTGTCTTCTATCAGATTAGGGGTTTCGTTTTGGATCGTTGCTAGAACAAATCTAATCTTTTCTAAGTTTAATACACTTCACTTTCCTTAAAGCTTGAATCTTTATAGTGTAAATACTTCGATAACACTAATTGCTGCTTTCACTTTGATAGTATAATTTGGTCTGATTCATTCAAGAAAACATTTTTGGGTTTTCAAGAAAATTATATATCTGTTTCAGTTCTTGAATCATGAAATATGTAAAGGATCTTACTGTTGGGATAATCAATTTCATCAAGGTATAGTCTTGAAATTAATCAAGGTGGGAATTATATATGTGTGCTCATTGAAGGATTTTCTTGCTATTTGGAAGTAAATTTGCCTTCTTCTCAGCTGAATTGAACCAAAATCTAGCCTGATTAGTAGATGCTAGATACAGTTTGTCCTATTCTTGGTTATGTTATTACAGATTTAGCAATAACTTTCACTTTCAGTTAATAGTGTTGTTCTATGTTTGAACTGCATTAAGTTTTTATTTGCAGGAGAATTTTTGATTTACCATGTTTGTTTATCAATGACATATATACTTTGTTCTTCTTTGTTTATTGGCATGATCGTTTGTCTTTTGTTTTGCTTGTCATGAACTGGATTTTCTCTTGGTATTGTTCATTCTGAATCTTATTTGTAAACTGTTGCTGACTGTTTGTAGATAAGCGGCTCGATCCCGTTAAGGTCACGGGTGTGAAGATCTCTCCTGACCCTGTTGTGAGTGGTGAAGCGGCAACATTTAAGATTTTGGGTTCTACTGGTAAATCTCCCTTTGATGATCTTCCTGCTTCCTTGTTTTCTGCACTATTAGAAATATAGAACATTCTTTTCTTCCGACATTTCTTGATAAAATCTTGTGTGCGGTGTGTGAACAGGCGAAGACATCTCTGGAGGAAAAGTAGTGATCAGGGTTTCATACTTTGGGATTCCTGTCCATACCGAAACTCATGACCTCTGCGAGGAGACGGCCTGTCCGATTGCACCAGGCAGCTTTGTGCTTTCTCATTCCCAAACACTCCCCTCAATTACACCACCTGTAAGATTTTTTAACACTCTTTGCTTAGAATACACCTGGAAATCGATATGCGAAAACTATGTTTGAACCTGTTCATTAACTAGATATCTATATGAGAAAATTAGTCATTTTCCACTCATGTTTCATCTGGTAATCTTCTTCAAATTCATCATCCTATTAGAGTGGCTTCTCTGATCTAACTATAAGTCTCTTTGAAACAGGGCACTTACACGCTTAAGATGACAATCAACGATAAGAATGGCGGAAGACTAACCTGCATCAGCTTCAAATTCAAGATTGCATTAGGTTCCGCGGTCTTTGCTAGTTAAGTTTTATGGTGTAAATTGTGTCTTTGTGAATCTCTCTCTCTCTCGTTCACTTTTGTGGTGTCCAAATAAAGAATGCTCTTTTGAGACTTGAGATGATCTACATGAAACAGAGTCACAGACCAATCTCTCTACCGTTTCCACTGCACAAGTTAGCAGTCATCAATATACTAATCAAGTTAAAACCAATATATGCTCATTTTAAGATAATCTCTTCCTTCACAAGCATTTATCATCTCATCTTCTTATTCGATCCCAACACGAAGAAAGTCCTTTTTTCTTTTTCTTTTTTCCTTTTGTGACAATTCCTCTAAACAAAAACCCTACCGAGACCAAAACCATATAAACAACCTAAATTTGACCGAGCAGGACACCAAAAACAAAAGAACTCAAAATCGAACCACCAAATTTGTGACGTTGAGAAGAAGTTACTGATCGTAAGTCTTTGTATATCGCTTTAGGGTTTTAATTGAACCTTAAAAGCTTTGACCCTTAAGGTTGTATAACGCTCTCTTTTTTTTTTCTTTTCTTTTTCATGTTTAAGGAACCACTCGGTCTCCATGGATTGCGTGGCTTCAATGGATTGTCTTCCAGATGATCTTCTTGTCCACATCTTATCCTTCCTTCCCACAAAACAAGCTGTTTCAACCTCTCTTCTCTCCAAGAGATGGAGGACTCTGTTTTCTCTCAGTGATAATCTTGACTTTAACGATGATTCCATCTCCTGGCGCCCCGAAGATATCCGAAAGAGTTTCAATGATTTTGTAGACAGTTCATTGGCTTTCCAAGGCGGTAAACATATAAAGAAGTTCTCACTTAAACATACTGAAAGAAGTATACTAGAACATGACGTTGACCGCTGGATATGTAAGGCCCTGGAACACGGTGTCTCTGAGCTTCATCTACACATAAAATCTACATGGTGGCATCGTTTCCCATCCCAAGTCTTCACCAGCACAACGCTGGTTAATCTGTCACTGCGAACAAACCAATACTTCAATGAGTTTTCTGCGGATACATCTCTCCCAGCACTAAAGGTTCTCCTCCTTGATTCAATCTGTTTTATGGATAATCAATTATTAGATGTGTTTCTCACTGCTTGCCCTGCCCTTGAGGACTTAACCATACATCACGAGAAAAATGAAGTACAATCATTCGTCATATCTAGCAAAACCATCAAGAAACTCTCTCTTACCATTAAATGTAAGAGTTATCTTGATTCTCCCGTCATTATATCAATTGACACACCTAGTGTTGTCGACCTCTCCTACTCTGATTATCTTCGGCGTAAATCTCCACGTTGTCAATTGGATTCACTTGCCAAAGCTACATTGGACCTTCATTTCTTAGAAGATGACAAGCGCCATAAGATATATGACAGGGATGTGGTGGATCTCATCAGTGGGATACGCAATGTCAAGACCCTTCACTTGACTTCTTCTGCTGTCGAGGTTAGTACTTGTGTGTATGGTCTCATCCTCTTTTTTGGTTAGAAACAGGAAAACATTCATTGTGTGTTTCAGGTGATTTCTATATGCTGCAATGGTGGATTACCGGTGTTCAACAACCTCGTTGATTTAGTGTTTTCCGGTACAAAAAGAGGTTGGAAACTGCTTTTGCCACTTCTGCTAGAGCGTTCTCCGAACTTAAAAAATCTGGTTCTCTCGGTATGAAGCAAACCATGAAAAAATCTTACTTTATATATATATGACTGTGGTATGAAATTAAAGTAGTCTCTCCTCATGATGCTTCAGGGTCTACATAATTACACATTTGGACGAAGACATCGGTTTGTAGGGATTCAAATACCCTTGAATAACCAACTAAAGATGCTTACTATCAAGCAATATCATGGAAGTGCAACCGTGCTGAAACACATTAGCCATTTCTTACTGAATATGGAATATCTTGAAGTGGTGAAAGTTTACGTTGCAGCTGAAATGGATGACACCAAAAAGATGCAACTCACAGAGGATCTGTTGAAGTTTCCAACAGCTTCATCCAAGCTCGAGATACAGGTCATTTAAGTTTTTTTTATGTTTTAGTGATTTATGATTTACTATGGTGCGAATCATAAACACGAGCAAAAAAGTACTTATTATTTACCAGGTTAATGGGTTTCTGAGCTATATTGAACAACTTTGCTTCCTTTTATGAGTGTCTTTCTGTTAAAGAATAATCACCAGAAGAAAAAAAAAGGGACAACTCTGATGTTCTTGCTAGACGTCAATATATATAAAAACTAGATGTGTAGATGTATGTCGATATGATGTGCGAGATATACAAATGTAAGATTTAATGTTTGAAAAAAAAAAAAAGATTTAATGTTGGATTGGTTGGAGAAGAAACTTGATAAAGTTGAAAAAAACAAGAAGAAATGTGCCCGGGTGTGTGAAATGGAGCAACAGCTGCATGACTTGGAGCAGAGACTTACAAACTCAGCTGAATAAAGGAGAAGGCAGATATTTTGGAGGCCACATCTCTTGATCTCTCTTTCAAAATTTTAATGATGTTTTTTTTTATGCTTTCTGGTTCATTTAAGTACAAAACAACCAATGTAGGCTCAGGCTTAGGCTTGGACTTACGCTTAGTTTACAAAATCTTGTCATTTGGAGGAGGTCATGTGTGAGCCTATATATATGCTCTAACGTAAGTTTTTCTTGTGACTTCGTCCTTGTACATACATTGCCATCACAAGAATTTGGGTCGTATAAGATGTTACACTCATTATCTAAGAAGTTATCTTAATTAGAAAAGTTGCTCATTTCACAACTAGAAGTTATGAAGAGATATACAAGATTAAGAATGAAACAGAACAAATGTAGCAAAATGTCATTTATACCTAAAACACAAGGACGCAAATATGGCATGAACAATAGATTCTTAATGAACTATTCAAAAAAAGATCCGACGATCACTTAAAACATCCAACAAGATCACGTTTTGGCACTCTTCACTTCTTCTATGAGACGTCCTGTATGATTGCATATCTTTGTGCTTTCAGCTTCTAAATTATGTGGGACTAAAAGTAGTAGTGTGTAATTAACGAGTAAAAGTTTTCACTGCGCAAGTTAGCAATCATCGAGATACAACGAAAGTTTTTCTTTTTTTTTTCTTTTCTGAAAATTTCCTTTTAAAGAAAAACCCTACCGAAAGCAAAAACGTATAAACAACCTTTACTCGACAGAGCTAAAGACCCAAATTAAAATTAAAAAAAAAAAGAAGTAAAAATTGAACCTTGATATGGGACGTGTGGAAGAAGTTTCTGATCGTGTAAGTCCCTTTCGGGTTTTGGGGTTTTAAATTTCAATTGACATGTGGTTAAAACTTAAAAGTAAAAAATGAAATACATATCATACACATGATACATAAAAAACCCTAGCCATAGCTTCATTATCAATTTATCATCCACTATATAAACAAACCTAAAAGCCTACCGGGCAGCAAATTGATCAATAACAAAGACTCAAAATCGAAGCTTCTTGATATGGAACATGGAGAAGAAGTTGTTGAACAGTTGAATCCGTCTTCTTCAATGGATTGTCTTCCTGATGACCTTCTTGTCCAAATCTTATCCTTCCTTACCACAAAACAAGCTGCTTCAACATCTCTTCTCTCCAAGAGGTGGAGGACTCTATTTGCTTTCAGTCCTAATCTAGACTTGGACGATCCCATCTTTTTGCACCATGAAAAGGATTCATGGAAGAAAAGGTGTGCTATTCAAAAGAAATTTCGGGATTTCGCTTATAGAACATTGGGTTTGCAATGCGGTAACCATATAAAGAAGTTGTCACTAAAATATAAACGAATATTTGGTGTTGGTGGCGTGGTTGTTGTTAAACACTGGATATGTTATGCCTTGAAACATGGTGTCTCTGAGCTTCATTTATGCATAGATACATACACACATTTTCTATCCAGAATCTTCACCAGCACCACACTGGTTAGGTTGTCATTGGGATCCAGCTTTTGCATCCCAAATGTTCCTTTGGATACATCTCTCCCTGCACTAAAGGTTCTCTTCCTTGATTCAATCTGGTTTAAGGATGATCAATTTTCTAATGTGTTTCTAGCTGCTTGCCATGCACTTGAGGATTTAGCCATACATCACAGGTATAATACGTATTATTCAGAACCTTTATACGTCATACGCAGCAAAACCATTACGAGACTCTCTGTTACCATTAACTGTAGATATTATGTTGATCGTTTTCTCACTATGTCATTTGACACACCGAATGTTGTCGACTTCTACTACTCTGATTATCTTCGGCGTGAATCTCCACAATGTAACTTGGATTCACTTGTCAAAGCTACATTGGACCTTCATTTCTTAAGAGATGACGCGGATGTGACAAATCTCATCAGTGGGATACGCAATGTCAAGACCCTTCACTTGACTTCATCTGCAGTCGAGGTCAGTACTTGTGTGTATGGTCTCATCATCTTTTTTATTTAAGAAACATAAAAACATTCATTTTGTGCATTTCAGGTGATTTCGGTATGCTGCAAAGGTCGACTACCAGTGTTCAACAAACTTGTTGAGTTAGTGTTTTCGAGTAAAAAGGAAGGTTGGAAAGTGCTTCTGCCACTTCTGCTAGAGCGTTCTCCAAACCTTAAAACTCTGGTTCTCTCGGTATGAAGCAAACCATGAACAAATCATACATTATATATATATATGACTGGCATGACCTTAAAGTAGTCTCTCTTCTCGATGCTTCGGGGTCTGGATGGATTCACATGTAGACGACATCGGTTTACTCGAATTCCTCCGAATAACCAAATAAAGATGTTATCATGAAGTGTCAAGGATATCCAAGCGAAATGAAACACATTAGATATTTCTTACTGAAAATGGAGTGTCTCGAAGTTGTGAAAGTCTACCTTGCAGCTGAAATGGATGACCTCAAAAAGATGCAACTCACAGAGGATCTGCTGAAGCTTCCTGCAGCTTCATCCAAGCTCAAGATACAAGTCAAGTGATCATATAGTAAGTTTTTTTTTTTTTTATAGGGATTTATGATTTACCATGGTGTGTGATCTTTAAAACGAGAAAAAAAACAACTTATATATATATGAGTCACCATGTTTAGGGGTTTATGAGCTATATTGCTGCATAAGCTATGGCTTCTTGGACATTTGGTTCCTTTAATGAGTACCGAAATTGGCCCAAGAGAAAGAGCTAGTCAGTTGAAGTTGGTCTCAATCTCTCTTCAAGTTTTTGTAGACCAAAGGATAGGCCTCGCTCTTAGGGCCTCAGTGACCATCGTGTATTTTATTTTTCTGAAATCACAATAATTTGGGTCCTAAGAAACAACGTTACACTCACTATCATTATCAAAGTTGTTCATATCTCAACTAAAAATTACCCAAAGTACCAAATCCAACAGGTACAAGATCGGGATTGAAACTGAAAAAATGTAGCAAACCCACAAAATATCATTATACCTGAAAAACAAGACATCAACGACAGTTTTTGTAGATGCTAATCGGATCCAAAGGATCACATCACTATGAGACAGACCCAACAAAAAAAAAAATCAACATTTTCACAATCATAAATCCTAATCAAAATAAAAGAAAGTCATAATGGGTAAGAAGTGAATTATTCAAAGAAGATCCCGACTTGAGAGTTAGGACCCAACAAGATCCGATTTGTAACCAGAAGCAACCAAGGTGAACCGGAGAGAAGTTGGCTTCCCACATTGAACCGAACCAGATATAGCATTTATATATCATCTCATCTTCTCTTGAACCCTCAACACAAATATTATTTTCTGAAAATTTCCCTAAAGAAAAACCCTACCGAGGGCAAAACCATATAAACAATCTAAAGTTGCCGATCCTGTAAGTTTAGTATTTTTGGTTTTAATTTGATGAATGATTTTTCTATCTTCTCGAAAGGAAGCTTAAAGTTCAACACTTAGGGTTTTTGTATCTATCTACGGAGAGAAAGCTTGAAAGTTGAACCTTCAATTAGGGTTTAAATTGAGGGAAAATTGGATATAAAGGATAAATAATTAAACTATTGTCCATCTATGCATTCTATGACTAAATATCACATATTCCTAATTTACCCTTTGTAGTTGGTTTAACTAGTTTTTCAAAAAAATTTTAGAACAATTTGTAGGCAAATGAAAAAGAAGTCATGAGGATACTTATAATGTCGAAAATATGTCATTTTTGTTGCCGTTTTGGATAAATAAAATATGATCTAGGAAGTTTAGAATACACATTCTGAATTTAGAATGTGTATTCTACACATTGCACATGTTCTATAAAATTTAGATAATGTATTCTATATGCACTCTACATGTTCTACGGAATTTAGAACGCATTTCTGTTCTACGGTATTTAGATAGCTAATTTCTACGAAATTTAGAATACATGTTCTATACTTTGCTCTTTCTTCTAAAAAAATTAGAATATCTTTTCTAACATTTACCCATGTTCTAAAATTGTTAGAAAACACATTCTTATATTTTCCTATATATTCTACAAAAAATAGAAAACAAATTCTATATAATTTAGAATTTCTTTTTAGTAAAGGAAAATAAATCTTTAAATAAAGAAATTGAATATTGTTAAGATTACATCTGATAAAATTGAATATTAAGGTTAAGATTACGTCTACAAATTTTAGAACATGTATTCTTATTAGTTTAGAATTCTTTACACATAAGTAAATAGATTACCCTAGTCCACTTTGACGTCTCTTCTTTTGTTCCTTATTTCTTTTTCTCCACGTTTCATCTCTTCTTATTCTTCCTTCGTCCCCTCTTCTTCTTTCTTCTTTCTTCTCCCTCACGATCTTTAAGTAATTGTGAGACAAACAATTATGTTGCAGATCTATGTTACTTGTGGTGTATGGAGATCTTTTGCTAATAAAGAGTGGAAATTTATTGTTGATGAAGAAAAATGTGCAAGATTACTCACCTTGCAATCTACAACAACTCTTGAAGACCTATTGATGATGGTCTCTGAAGACTACAAAATAGAACCGGCTACAGTTGATGTGGAATTCACTTATTTACCTACAGATCTCGGTGTTGATTCTCCTCCTGTTCTTATGACGAATGACCGACAACTGAAAAATTTTGTCGACTATTATAAAAGGAACAGTTTGATACGGTTGTGTGTGACATTTAAAGTTAAAGGCGATAATCAAAGGAATATAGTGGATACCGAATTGGATGAGGAGCCAAGTGATTCGATTGAAAGAGATGATGATCGTAACGTGCGTAAAAAATCTGCAGTATTGGTTGTTGAGGATACGCCTAATGTTGGTAGAGTTTGTGATAAGGTTGAATCTATATTGGCAGATTCCATTGTAAAGAATGGGAAACATTTCAGAAGCAAGGAAGCTTTACAGGCAACTCTAGAAATATGTGTGATGAAGTATAACTTCGACTACAGAGTTACTAAATCTGATCCGACATTTTGGTGTATTCGTTGTGTGGACAAAGTTTGCAAATGGAGGCTTCGTGCAGAATGTTTGAAGGGATCTACATATTTCAAAATCAATAAGTATGTTGCTAAACATAATTGTGCTCCTTCGAAGAAAAGCAAAGTCTCTAGAACCCCTTCAGCAAGAACAATTGGACAGCTCATTATGCATAGATACGAGGGTGTGAAGGAAGGGCCTAAACCCAATGATATCATTAATATTTTGCGTACAGAATATGGATGTGAGCTATCTTATTCCCAAGCTTGGGAGTCTCGTGAGTATGCAGTTAACGAAGTTAGAGGGATACCTGAGAAAAGTTATGGTAAAATACCAAAATACTTGCATATGCTACAAGAAGCTAATCCTGGTACGTATACGAATTTTGAAACTGATTACGATGGTAGATTCAAGTATCTATTTATTTCTTTTGGTCAATCAATAAGAGGGTTCTACAAGGCAGTTCGTAGGGTGATTGTAGTTGATGGAACGTTTTTGAAGAGCAAATACAAAGGAGTTCTACTAGTTGCTACAGCCGTAGATGGTAACTCTAATTTATATCCAATCGCATTTGGAATTGCTGATTCTGAGAATGATCTTTCATGGGAGTGGTTTTTAATGCAACTTAAGTTTGTTATAGCCGACGAGGAAGATTTAGCTTTTGTGTCAGATAGACATATGTCGATTGGTAAAACAATTGCTAAAATTTACCCATTGGCAAAACATGGTGTTTGCATCCACCACTTGTTGAATAATGTGATAACTTACCACCAAGGAAGGGGTTTGGTCGGTATGGTTGCCAAAGCGTCAAAAGCGTATAGGGTTGCTGAATTTGAGCGTTTATTCAAGCAAATTAGCAACATTAGTCCAGCGATTGGAGTATACCTACAAGATGCAGGTGTGGAAAAATGGGCTCGGTGTCATTTTCCTGGATACAGGTACGACATTAGAACCACAAACCCTGCTGAGTCAATAAATTCAGCGTTGAGATCGCCTAGAGAATATCCAATAATTCCTTTGTTAGACAGCATTAGAGAAATGTTGACACGATGGTTTTATGAGCGTAGAGCTTTAAGTGCAAAGCAGACAGACCCTTTAACTGTGGAAGTGGAGAAAAAGATTGATGGTAGGATAGAAAAAGGCAAAACACTGAAAGTTTATCCGGTTACTGAATACATATTTCAGCTTAAAGGTGAGTCGTCTGACTACGTCGTTGACTTGGAAAGTAAAACATGTTCATGTGGAAAGTTTCAGTTAGGAAAAATTCCGTGTCGTCATGCCATAAAAGCAGCTCTTGTGATCGGTAAGGAGCTACATGAATTTGCTGATGAAGTGTATACAACTACAGCTTGGAGATCGTTATTCGAAGAAACCATTAATCCAATTGCTGTTCCTGAAGATGAATGGCGTGTCCCAGAAAATGTCGAAAATGCTAAAGTCCTACCACCTGAATCACGAAGAGGCCCTGGTCGACGAAGAAAACGAAGATACGAAACTGTGGAAGACAAGATACGATCGTCACAAGGATCACAAGGGTCTAAGAGGCATAGGTGTAGTCGTTGTGGTCAAGAAGGACACAACCGATCGACGTGTGATACTACAATATAATAACGGTTTGTTCCACAATCCTTATTCTCACATGAAGTATTGTTAATTGGTATTTCATTATCATTTTATTTATTGTGTGATTTTTTTTTTCTTTTTCAGGATTGTTTTTCATGTATGATCGTTGGGACGAGAAGACAATTTTTTCTTCTTTACTCTTTTTATTTTATAAACTCAATACGTTCTGCTTTTATATTTATTTTCTCTAAGACATGGTTTTAGATACAATAATTCAGTTTTTTATGACGATATATGAGTTTTTGTTATAACCAAATCTGCTCTGTTTTAGAAACGATAATTCAGTTTTTTTAAGATATATGAGTTTTTGTTATAACCAAATCTACTCTGTTTTAGAAACGATAATTCAGTTTTTTGATGATATATGAGTTTTTGTTATAACCAAATCTGCTCTGTTTTAGAATGGCTTGTAAAGAGAACAAAGTAACAACGTATTTGGACAAGAGAGAGATAGACACAGACGAGATATGAAAACGTCGGAGTTTTTAATGGAGAAGAAGCTAAGTCAACAGAGGAAACGTTGCTTGTAATGTTTTACGGTGCTACGTAACGTGTAGAAACAACACACACGTGTTGCTCTACTTACATGAATATTTAAACAAAATAAGTAAGATGGTCAAACTCAATTATAAACTAACAAAAGCTCCACATCCGTGGAAATTTTTGATTTACTTGAAAGTGACTTAACAAAAAAGTGAATTGAGATATAAAAAAGTCTCGTAAATCAATAAGTGTATGTTTCTCACTAGATCTCTATTGTATCAGAATCTAGTTGTGGAGGTTCATACTTTGCCATTCGGTCAATGAACACGGGATCAGATGCTGCTTCCCATAGATCAACTGCAATCCGCTGACGTGCATGTTTAATGTTGACATCGTCCAATATATCCATGGGAAGCCCCATAAAGTGACACTCGATATATTTGCGAGCATACACTCCACAATCACAACGTGATTTATTAAGGCCAGGCGGCACCGGAACATGAACGAGAGTATATGGAGATAATAGTAGATTTTTCCCATATGATTTTGTGTGAATTTCCTTGAGAATTCGTGGGATGGTGATTGCGAATGCCTCCACATTTCTTCTATGGTTGTGACCAGCACAATCGAAGATATCAACTGTTCTTTGAATGAAGTTAATGCACAGAGAAATCCAATGATTACCATTGACATGGAGCGGAAAGTAAATACGGTCAAAATCTGATCTCCATTGTTTTCTTGTCCTCCCATGAGGAGGTAACTCGCCGTTGGCGTAATCTTGGATCAAACTACTCCATTGGTGGCTTCGTTTATTTTTCACAAACTTTGTGTATTCGTTGTTGAGTCGCATGCCAAATGAACAGTCCATGAAACCAACACGAGCTAAGTCCAATCGCCCTAAAGATGATTTCTCCCGAAATAAATACATCGCAGCATCCATATCCTGAAAAATATTAAATCATTTAATAATCAGTGTACCACAACTTCTTTGTAACACTAAGTATGTAATGCAAGGTAAATGACAATCGGTATAACGCACCACGTTGCTAAGCCATTCGTTCGCTTTCAAGAGTCGACCGAGTAATGCTTTATTGATAACACTAGGACCAAAATTTAAGTCTCTGAAAATGTGAAACCATGAGAATTAAATCGATTGGCAAAGCATAAAATTCTAATAATTTTAGAGAAAAATAATGGACTTACTTGTGCTTCATATTCCACTCCATAAAAGCATTCCATCTAGCCTCAGAAACAAACACCAATACAGCATCCTTGTCGTTTTTGCCCACGTCAGGAATATGTTTACCTTCGCTTTCAATTTCGATCAGGCTCTGGATTTTATTGCGATTCAAATTTTGTGTGGAATCAAATTCGGGTAGCTGTGATGGTTGAGATAAGTGTCCCATGGATTTATCTAAGAAGTCTTGTGTACCAAAACTAAAGTCTAAAAAGTCATCATCTAAAGACGTCATTTCATCCTGCCATTGAAAAAGATAAACGAAAACATTAAAATACAACAAAAATCAAAAAGAGCATGTTATAATAAACAAAGTAGGTGAACAAAATAAAGATTTATCTCTTACGTACATACCACAACTTTTCTAGGCTGATCTGTTCGATTGGACGGTTGCGAGGTTGTGGATCTCGTTGTGATACTTGCAGTTGCAGATGTGGAGACCAATTTCTTCACTAGTGCTATATCATCCTCTAGTTTTCCCAATTGTGCTTTAATCATCTCAAAAGAAGAATCAAACAATGCTTTAAGAAAGGACTTCATTTCGTCATTTAAAGCTCCATGTGTTGCTGCTGCTGCTCGTTGACAAAGCAACTTCTTTTTGCGTGTCTCTGCACCGTGATCAGATTGTTTCTTCTTACTCCTCTTCATACCAGAGACATGGTTCTCTTCATTCCCATCTTCAACTAGCTCTCTCAGATATATGATCGACCTCATTCATGTCTTCAGTTGCAACATCCTTATCTGCGACATCATTCTCTTGCACATTCTCAATATTGTCGCCTTCTATATTATCATCTACAACACTTCCCCAAACATGGTCTCCAAAATCATTCCCAGATTTGATCATTTCAATCATATTATCCACTTCACCATCTCTGATTTCATCAGGCCATACAAATTCTTTGTCATCAATGAACTCATTTCCTGAATAAGAAATGAATGGATAAAAGACAGCCTACAAAACAAAACAAAAAAATATTAAAGAAACACTGGAACCCTACGAGGCATAATAGTTTCATATGCAAATAATTGTCTGCATCACGTTAACTACCAATAAGACACACATGTTTAAAACCCCTAGATCTTTAAACTCTTAAACTTAAAATAGAGAATTGTAAACTCACATGTGATGTAAATGACATCTCCACCGAGATGATGTCCTCATATGATACCTTTGCAGCGCCTTTCCAATTAGAACATCGAGGAGCTGCAGTCAATTCAGTGCTAATCTTTTCTCCCACCAATGTTCCAATGTCTGGAATTGCTTCCATCACCCATATCTGAAGTGCATATGAGAATCCATCTAGAACATATATAGCTTTTGGTTTTCTTCAAAGCAGATCTTGCTTTCATGATACATTGTAGTAGATAATCATAAGTTTTAAGACCCCAAGGATAATTACGAACGTTACGAAGATCCATCACCATCTTGATGTATAAATGATCGATCTTTTTGGTCTCACCCGTAGCCATGACCAACCCAGCTATCACACAAATATACACGAAACGAATTCTGTCGTCCTTCTCCCTCCACTTCTTAACATCTTCAATGCTAGTCATCAATTTATTTATGCATATATCTCCACCTCTTTTCAGCAATTTACTCCAAAATCCTTTATCATCTTTCCATTTCTCATAATCACAGCTCCCATCATCAGTGTACTTGAGACCAGTAACTGCATAAAATTCTTGGAGTGAAAATCTAAGTGGCTTCCCTCCAAACACAAACCATAGCTCATGTTTTTTTTTTTGTAACCAATTGTCTACACATGATGCTGTGTATCAAGCGAGCTGAATAACCTATTTTATTTTCGTGTATTGCAAAGACATGTGCGAATACTGGATCTCTCTTAACTTCATCATACTCCGATGGCAACGTTTCCTTTATTTTGGTCAGAAGAGACATTTTGCAGCTGTTATTTATCTTCTCCACTTGTGGCTCATTTCCATCTGTGAATAGGCGTTTTGGACACTCGTTTTCCATGTCTACACAAAAGCAAAAACAATCTTAAAATATGTAAATATCAACATTCATGGAATTTTTGTAGCAAAGTTCTTTGTAAATGTCAACAATCAACAGAATAAGTTCAAAAGGCCCAAAATTATGTTATCAAATTAAGGTTTAGTAACAAAAGAAGATAATGGAAGCAAGTCAAGTGATCAAAGTGTTAGATTTTGCTTCTTACGTTACTTAGTGCAAAAGAAAAAAAAACAACAAATTAACGTTTATGTTATAACCAAAATTGCTTTGTTTTAGAATGACTTAGAAATAGTCATATGTACGAGATCAAGAGACAAAGATACAAAGTAACAGAGGACTTGGACAAGAGAGAGACACACACAAGAGATGAAAACTGAAACTTGTTTTATTAGACTTTTAGAAACAACACAACACTACAAATCAATAATCCAACACATGCAAAGAAATCTAGAATTTTACCTGGATATACAAGCTCCGAAGAATTGAAGAAATCCAAAAAACTACCAAAAGAGAAAATCAAAGAAGAAGTTGTCGTCAAAAGAATTGATGAGGAAGTTAACGTCAAAAAAAAATCAAATAAGAATAAGATTTGGAATTATCTTGGCAAGAATATTTGGAAAGTAAATAAATATTGTTTTTGTCATATATTTTCTCTAAATTATTTTTAGAAAGAAATCTAATTAATTTTGGAATTTTTTTTATACTTTAGCAAGATTTAAAGAAACTAGGGATAAAATGGGATTTTAATTATATTAAAGCATAGATGACCAATATTAAATCATATATGATCAATTATGAATATAGAATGCATAAATGGACAATAATTAAATTATTTATCCTTTATATCCAATTTTCCCTTAAATTGAACCTCTAAAAGCTTTCACCTTTAGCTTGTATAGTCTGTCTCTATGGATTGCGTAGCTTCGATGGATTGTCTTCCAAATGATATTCTTGTCCAAATCTTGTCCTTCCTTCCCACGAAACAAGCTGTTTCAACCTCTCTTCTCTCAAAGAGGTGGAGGACTCTGTTTACTCTCAGTGATAATCTTGACTTTGACGATCCCATCTCCGGGCGCCCCGAAGATATCCGAAAGAGTTTCAATGATTTTGTAGACAGTTCATTGGCTTTCCAAGGTGGTAAACATATAAAAAAGTTCTCACTTAAACATACTGAAATATATGAAGAAGATGAACCTGACGTTGACCGATGGATATGTAAGGCCCTGGAACACGGTGTATTTGAGCTCCATCTACACATAAAGTCTAAATTATGGTGGGAGTTTTCTATGCCATCCAAAGTCTTCACCAGCACCACGCTGGTTAAGCTGTCATTGGGAACAAGACTATACAACCTAAGTTTTCCTCCGGATACATCTCTCTCAGCACTAAAGGTTCTCCTCCTTGATTCAATCTGGTTTAGGGATGATCAATTATCTAATGTGCTTCTCGCTGGCTGCCCTGTACTTGAGGACTTAACCATACATTACGAGTATTATCCAGAACATTCATACTTGATTTCTAGCAAAACAATAAAGAAACTCTCTGTTACCATTAAGAGTAGTTATTATGATCATCGTTCTAGCATTATTACACTTGACACACCGAGTGTTGTCGACCTCTACTACTCTGGTTTTCCTCAGCGTAAAGCTCCACATTGTAATTTAGATTCACTTGCCAAAGCTACATTGGACCTTCATTTCTTAGAAGATAAAAATATCGTCAGTGGAATATCTCATGAGGCAGATGTGAAAAATCTCATCAGTAAGATACGCAACGTCAAGACCCTTCACTTGACTTCTTCTGCTGTTCAGGTCAGTTTTAATGAATGGTCACTCATCGTTTTTTTGTTAAGAATAGGAAATATTCTTTTTGTGTGTGTTTTCAGGTGATTTCGGCATGCTGCAAAGGTAGACTACCGTTGTTCAACAACCTCATTGATTTAATGTTCTCGAGTAAAAAACGAGGTTGGAAAGTGCTCCCACTTCTACTAAAGCGTTCTCCAAACCTAAAAACTCTAGTTCTCTCGGTATGAAGCAAACCCTGAACACATCTTAATTTATATTTATGTTGTGGCATGAAATTAAATTAGTCTCGATAATTTTGATGCTTCAGGGTCTGCCTCGTTACACATTTGGACGAAGACATTGGTTTATAGGGATTACAATTCCCTCGAATAACCAAATAAAGATGCTGAGTATCATGCAATATGAAGGAAGTGCAAGCGAGCTTAAACACATTAGCCATTTTTTACTGAAGATGGAGTGTCTTGAAGTTGTGAAAGTTTATGTTGCAGCTGATATGGATGACCCCAAAAAGATGCAACTCACAGAGGATCTGTTGAAGCTTCCCGCAGCTTCATCTAAGCTCAAGATACAAGTCATGTGAGCATCATTATCCATAAGTTATTTATATGTCTTCAAAGTAGGCTACTTTGTTTTAGTGATTTAATATCACGCCTCGTTTTTGAGTGGAACCACTACTTATGGGCCAAGAGCTATATAAATTATGTTGAAGTCACTACCGGAGATAAGGACATTGCTTCCCCGGATGAGTCTACTCCCAAAGATTCAAGTGGAGTCTTTTAAAAAGAGTAGTCCTGTTGTGTGTTTCAGAGTTAGTTACTCTGTTCTTAACAATCTCTTGTGTCTTTGTGAATCTCTCTCTCGTTTAGTTTAGTTTGGTGGTGTTAATTTTTTTTGTACTGGGAAATTAGTAAAAGAAAACTCTACTAGACTCCCAACAAGATCCGATTTGTGTATGTTAATTTGTTTTAGAAATTAGTCTTAAGAAAATAGAGACTAGCCTTAAATTTACAATAAAATGATTTCCATCAAACTGAAGTTGGTCTCAATTTCTCTTCAAGCAAAGCATTGTAAGATTTTTTTCCCTCTGCAGCTCCTCAGAGAGTATGTGCCACGGTTATTCCCCATGGTAAAAGATTTTGTAGACCACCGTCTAAGGGCCTTAGTGATCTTCGTGATTTTTTCTTTTCTTACATCAAAATGTATGTTCACAGGATGTGCGAGATATACAAATGTAGGGTTTAAATTTCGATTCGTTAGAGAAGAAACTTGATGAAGTTAAAGAAAACAAGAAGAGATGAGCTCAGGTGTGTGATGAGATGGCGCAACAGCTGCATGACTTGGATCAGAACTCAGAAGTGCAAAGACCTAAAAGCTTAGCAAAATAAAGAGAAGGCAGAGATTTTGGAAGCCACATCTTTCTTTCAATTAATGTTGTTTGATGCTTTCTGGTCCATTAAAGTACGAATGATTTTGTATACAAAATAAAAACCCAAATCACCAATGCAGGCTCGAGCTCAGGCTTAGGCTTAGTCTTACGCTTAGTTTTAGAAATTTTTATTAGTGAAGCAATAGACATGGAAGCTGAAGGATGTTCCTGCCGGCTCAACATTTTTACGGGCCCTAGGGCAAAAAAAATTTTTGGGCCCTTAAAATTTTCATTTTTAATGGTTTTTTTGCTATAAAAATTTTTTATACTATTTTTATTAAAAAAATTAATTATTAATACTAAAAATAATAAATAAAAATTTTTATTTGCCCTTATAAATATTATTTTTATGTTGTAATCTAATTTTTTAAGACTTTTATAAAAATATTTTTAAAAATGGGCCCCTTAATTATTGAAACACGGGATTGGGCCCTGGCCGTCGCACCGCCCGCCCTCCCATCTGAGCCGGCACTGCGATGTAAGAATTATTGGATCGTCGTCATCGACCCACTTGCATTGTTCTTATCAGAAACTATGTTCATATGTGAGCCTATGTTCTTATCAGAAACTTGTCTCATAACCAGCAAACACATATATACGATTTACAAGCAAAATCGCTATCTTACTTTTTCATATGCTCTAACTTTGTTTTCTGACTTTATTTTTGTACATAGATTACTTTGCCATCACAATAATTTGGGTCCTAAGACACAATGTTACACTAACTATCATTGACAAAGTTGTTCATTTCTCAACTAGAAATTAGGCAAAGTACCAAATCAAACAGGTACAAGATTAGGAATGAAACTGATAAAATGTAGCAAACCCACAAAATGTCATTGTACCTGAAAAACGGGAAAACGGCCTATTTCAAACCGAACTTTCTCGAGAAAAATATCTTTAAATTTTCTAAACTTATTCAAAATACCCATTCCGAATTTGTTTTTACCCAAATTAGTGACGTTAATTGATTTTTTAAAATTTTATTTGTTTTATGTTCTCATACTATTATTTAAAATTTAAGATTTTATTAAATTAAAATAATTAAATTTAAATTTACATATTTTTATTTTTATAATTAACATCATGCCACGTGGTTAAAAGTAAATTGTAAATACATACCAATCAAGCTAAAAATATACCCTAGCCTCCATTGTTTTCCACCATATATACACACAACCTAAAGCCTACCGAGCAGAAAATGAACAACAAAGACTCAAAAATTCAAAATCGAAGCTTCTTGATATGGGACATGTAGAAGAAGTTGCTAAGCATTTGAATCCGGGATCACTAGATTGTCTTCCGGACGATCTTCTTGTCCAAATCTTGTCCTTCCTTCCCACGAAACAGGCTATTTCAACCTCTGTTCTGTCCAATAGATGGAGGACTCTGTTTGCTTTCACTCATAATCTCGACTTTGACGAACCTGCCTCCGACCATAAATGGGATCAATGGAAAGAGCGTGATATTAGAAACAGATTTCGGGATTTTGTGGATAGAACATTGGCTTTTCATGGCTGTAACCATATAAAGAAGTTCTCACTTAAACGTAGGTATACATATAATGATAGAGGTGACGTTGACCGCTGGATATGTAATGCTCTGGAACGCAGAGTCTCTGATCTTCATCTACGCATAGAATCTGAATTATATTGGCATTCTGGATTACCAACCCAAGTCTTCACCAGCACAACACTGGTTAAGCTTTCATTGGGAACAGGACTAGACTGCTTAAGAATTCCTCCAGATACATCTCTCCCAGCACTAAAGGTTCTCGTCCTTGATTCAGTCTTGTTTAAGAATGATCAATTATCTAATGTGCTTCTCGCTGCATGCCCTGCACTTGAGGACTTAACCATACATCACACGTATCCATACGTCATATCTAGCAAAAGCATTAAGAAACTCTCACTTACCGTTCACTCTAGTTATTATGTTGATCGTTCTAGCATTCTTACACTTAACACACCGAGTGTTGTCGACCTCTACTACTCTGATCTACCTCGGCGTAAAGCTCCACATTGTAATTTAGATTCACTTGCCAAAGCTACATTGGACCTTCATTTCTTAGAAGATGGCAAGCGCCTGGTTGAAAATGACGCGGATGTGAAAAATCTCATCAGTGAGATACGCAACGTCAAGACCCTTAACTTGACTTCTTCTGCTGTCGAGGTCAGTTTTAATGTATGATATCTCTTATCTCATCTTTTTTTTTTGATAAGAATAGGAAAACATTCTTTGTGTGTGTTTGTCAGGTGATTTCGGCATGCTGCAAACGTGGACTACCAGTGTTCAACAACCTCGTTGATTTAATGTTCTCGAGTAAAAAACGACATTGGAAAGTACTCCCACTTCTACTAAAGCGTTCTCCAAACCTAAAAACTCTGGTTCTCTCAGTATGAATCAAACCCTGAACACATCTTAATTTATATTTATGTTGTGGCATGAAACTAAACTAGGCTCGATAATTTTGATCGCTTCAGGGTCTGCCTCGTGACACATTTGGACGAAGACATCGGTTTGTAGGGATTCAAATTCCCTCGAAAAACCAAATAAAGAAGCTGAGTATCATGCAATATCAAGGAAGTGAAACCGAGCTGAAACACATTAGCAATTTCTTAGCGGAAATGGAGTGTCTTGAAGTTGTTAAAGTCTACGCTGCAGCTGCAATGGATGACCTCGAAAAGATGCAACTCATAGAGGATGTGTTGAATCTTCCCACAGCTTCATCCGAGCTCAAGATACAAGTCTTGTGATAATCATAATCATCCATAAAGGAAGCTAAGGAATTTACGGAAAAGAGTCCTTCGATTTTGAAAGCAGGAGTATCAAAAGAAGAAGGAGAGAAGATCGTTGAAAACTTGAAGGCATTTGGTGCAAAAGCTGTTTAATTTGGAGTGAGCGAGTTTCCAAGGTATGTGTTACTTGGACTGATGAAGACTAATTAGGTCTTATTTGTGTTTAATAATAATCGAAGACAGTTATGAAGGCTCCAAAAGAAAGTAGTAAAGCTCAATGTAAATGCTATAAGCATTATTTTGGTTTTATAAGAACTTTCTCATTGGTAATGTTTTTTAAGAGATTAAACCCATGAATCTTTTGCTAGATTAAAATGTATCACAATGGTCACGCATGATGATCTCTACGATAGCCTCTCCTCTCATGAGTCATAACAAACAAAGTCGGTTATGCAACTTCCTCTGTTTGACGCTCCTTTGCTTGTGCTTCCACCGCCTCTATTTGCTTCTCACGTGTCTCTGTTAACTCTCGCACCACTTGAATCATAGAATCCTGCTCTATATATGTGTTGTCGTAAGAACTTGTAGAAGTAACAAAAATTAATAGATTAAGAAGTTACAGGTTATAATTTCACAATCTGAGAATGCCCTGCACAAGAAGAATCTCATCATGACAAAACTGAAAACTTATAAATTAAAGAAAGCAAAAAAATCACGTTGTAACATACGACTCTCTGAAAAAGTGCACTTACACGCTTAAGATAAACGACAACATTGGCGGATGACTAACGTGCATCAGCTTCAGATTGAAGATTACATGAGGTTCCACAGTCTTTGCTGGTTAAGATTAAAGAATGCTCTGTTAAGGCTTGAGTTCCACAGACCAATCTTTCCGCTCTAATAAATTAGAGAAAAGTAAAAAACACAAAAAGATCCGATTTGTAACCGGAGGCAACCAAAGTGAACGGTAGAGAAGTTGGTTATCCCATATTGAACCGAACCAGATATAGCATTTATATATCATCCCATCTCATAATTTTCCCTAAGGAAAAACCCTACCGAGGGCAAAACAATCTAAAGTTGCCGATCCTGTAAGTTCAACCTTTAGGGTTTAAATTGAACCTTAAAGCTTCAATGGATTGTCTTCCAGATGATCTTCTTGTCCAAATCTTGTCCTTCCTTCCGACGAAAGAAACTGTTTCAACCTCTCTTCTCTCCAAAAGGTGGAGGACTCTGTTTGCTTTCATTCATAATCTTGACTTTGACGATCCCATCTCCGGACGCCCCGAAGATATCCGAAAGAGTTTCAATGATTTTGTAGACAATTCATTGGCTTTCCAAGGTGGTAAACATATAAAAAAGTTCTCACTTAAACATACTACAATAGATGAAGAAGAACATGACGTTGACCGATGTATATGTAAGGCCCTGGAACACGGTGTCTCTGAGCTCCATCTACACATAAAGCCTGAATCATGGGAGTGGGAGTTTTCTATCCCATCCAAAGTCTTCACCAGCACAACGCTGGTTAAGCTGTCATTGGGAACAGGACTATACTGCCCAAGTTTTCCACCGGATACATCTCTCCCAGCACTAAAGGTTCTCCTCCTTGATTCAATCTGGTTTACGGATAATCAATTATCTAATGTGCTTCTCGCTGTCTGCCCTGCACTTGAGGACTTCACCATACGTTTTAAACATTTTAAAGGACGTCTATACCTCATATCCAGCAAAAGCATTAAGAAACTCTCAATTACCGTTAACCCTAGTTATTATGTTGATCGTTCTATTACACTTGACACACCGAGTGTTGTCGACCTCTACTACTCTGGTTTTCCTCTGGGTAAAGCTCCATATTGTAACTTAGATTCACTTGCCAAAGCTACATTGGACCTTCATTTCTTAGTCAAATCTCATCAGTCAAATCTCATCAGTCAAAAATATCATGTCGCGAATGTGAAAAATCTCATCAGTGTGATACGCAACGTCAAGACCCTTCACTTGACTTCTTCTGCTGTTCAGGTCAGTTTTAATGAATGGTCTCTCATCGTTTTTTTTTTGTTGAGAATAGGAAACATTCTTTTTATGTGTGTTTTCAGGTGATTTCTGCATGCCGCAAAGGTGGACTACCGGGGTTCAACAATCTCGTTGATTTAATGTTCTCGAGTGAAAAAAGAGGTTGGAAAGTGCTCCCACTTCTACTAAAGTGTTCTCCAAACCTTGAAACTCTGGTTCTCTTGGTATGAAGAAAACCATGAACAAATTTTAATTTATATGTATGATTGTGGCATGAAATTAAAGTAGTCTCGATAATCTTGATGCTTCAGGGTCTGCATTGCTACACATTTGAACGAAGACATCGGTTTGTAGGGATTCAAATTCCCTCGAATAACCAAATAAAGATGGTGATAATCAAGCAGTACCAAGGAAGTGAAAACGAGCTGAAACACATTAGCCATTTCTTACTGAAAATGGAGTGTCTTGAAGTGGTGAAAGTTTATGTTGCACCTACAATGGATGACCTCAAAAAGATGCAACTCACAGAGGATCTGTTGAAGCTTCCCGCAGCTTCATCTAAGCTTAAGATACAAGTCATGTGATCATCATCATCCATAAAGTTATTTATATGTCTTCAAAGTAAGGCTTTTTGTTTTAGTGATTTATGATTTATTATCATGCGTATCATAAAAACTAGAAAAAACAACTTTGTTTGGGTTTATAGAGCTAAGGTATCTTCAGAGTACGTTGTTATGATTTGCTGAACAAAAAAGACTCAAAATCTTTGCTTGATATTGAATATGGAGAAGAAGTTGCGGAACAGTTAAATCTGGCTTCAATGTAAAGTCAGACACATATGATCTGTAGCAAACTCATTGTAATTGTACTGTAGCTGGACCAAGCTGTGTGACTGAATCAATGAATTACGTTACTGTGTTTATACTACCTCACAAATAGAGCATAGAAATAACATCCAGCCTCGCATGCTTAAGCTGACAAAAACTTGTAACGTAGAGATGTTGTGTGAATTGTGATACACCACATAAGTGGCTTTTTTCAGGCTTTGTTCCAGCACTAGATGAATCATATAATCCGGCTCAATATGAGTTATTGTAAGAATTGGTAGAACTAACAAAATAGATTATGCAGTTTGTAATTTCACAATTTTGCTCATGCAGTAACCTGGTTTAGAATCACAAAGTCTTGAAAGAACATACCTGCAACTTCTATATATATCAAGATTAATATAGATAGATGCTACTGCTGATGCACACACACACACACACGCATGTCATCATGTCATTGTTTGATCTTGTATATATGTTGGCTATGTTCATTTGACAATGATTTTAAAACAGTAAAGAGAGATCTTAATTTGCTTTTATTGACGTTTGTGTTCTATCTTTAGATGTATGGCAGAAAACAAAGGCCTCATCTTAATGGTGTCGTCCAAAAAAGTGTGACCCAAACCTTCTCCACCAATCAGAAGGTTTTGAATTTGAACAAAGTCAAATAAAATATATGAAATAAAACTTAACCGGGCTTAGAGCATGATTATCAAGGGTCTTTTAATGTTGGCTCTTAGGAGTATTTAAGTATTAAATTTGTAAAAGTTATAGTTAAGAGATTGTATTTTTGTTTTAAGATTTGTGTCTTTAATGGTAGGCTCTTAACATGTGGTTCTTAGAAAAAAAATATTAATATAAAAATAAAATTTATAATTATAGAAAATTTAATAATTGTTGCAAATTTAAAAAATTAAAACATACATCATGGGAAGACGATACCATTTTCTATGTAGAAAATATTGGATTTTTTTGTATGAAGTAGAAAATATGGTTTTTTAGAAGTAGAAAAGAGTGTTATCCGTCGAAAATGTGTGACGAGATATTGAGATGTTGGTATTGGTTTGAGATGGTGAGAACAATAAGCAATAATGAGATGTTGGTATTGGTTTGAGATGGTGAGAACAATAAGCAATAATGAGATGTTGGTATTGGTTTGAGAAGTGAGAACAAAAAGCAATAATGAATTTGTGGTATTGGTAGAAATTGTGTTACAAGAGAGAATGAGATTGTGAGATGGTGAGAACAATAAGCAATACATGTTTATATATAGCAAATGAATCGCAGTGCAAAAAAGAATGTGTGGTATCTTTAGCTTCTCAGCTATACAAGCAATCAAAAAAAATATGTGGTCTCAAAATACAGAAGAACAATAGCATAAACATTTTGTGACACTGTTTTAGATGTTTTACCATTGACACAAGCCGGTAGTTAGTTTTTGGTTCTAAGCCTTCGTAAAGTCATCGCTATTTACCACCTGAAGTAAACCAGTCCTTGTAGTTCTGATTTATAACACAACCGCATTTGTAAACCAGTCCTTCTGTAACATCAATATACACTTTGACTTGCCAACTTCTGCCCACTTCTGGAAACATTAAACCTGCAGTGCATAAGATTAATCATGAGAGTATATAACTTGTTCCTACAAGTTGCTCTGCATATCTAAGCAAATAATCTAAAGAGCTACGTAACATAAAGAGGAGCAAATATAGCTCCTGGAACCAAGCAAAGAGTGACTAATGGCTAGAAGAATTACAAACAAGTTCTAGAAAAATGAAATCTAAATAGAGAATAGAAAGAAAACAAAGAAGAGGTGTGGACTTACATGTTCATCAGGAATCTGAGCAATCTCCAAAAGCTGAGATACACAACAGAGGATGTAAATTAGAGGTCAATAAGACTGCTTACAGTCTTCAGTAGCATAAGAAAAATGAAACAGTGAGAAGATCATGAGTTGCAAAGAAGACAATAAAATATATCTCTTACGAGACTTTCAATTCATAGCAATAAACCCTTTTCAAGATGTGAAATTGAGACAAGAATAAGGGACACAAACACTTAAGAGTTAAACTAAATCAGATATCTATCACATGAAACAAAAGGTTAAAGACTTTAGTGAGAATCATTCATACATACCATTGAGAAAAGAGATCTCCTTTGATTTCGTCGGCACCGCTTTGCAACTCCCCCAAAAGATTCCAACTGCCATTAACCTTAGGCAAAGGAAACACTCAGAATGTAAGCACCAAAGGAATTACATAATCAAATTGTTACTAGCTCAAAGCTAAAATCTTCAACCTGAGACAGAAAAAAATCAAAACATTCATATCAAGACTCCAAACTGTTACCAAGACCAAAAGAGAAAACTTCACAAAGAGGAGAAAACTCAACAAGACCAATATCCATAGCATAACCATCGACAAGAAACTTCAA